CCGTCTAAATACGTGAAAGATATTTAACGGACATTTAGTTTTTATTTTTCGTTTCAACCACGTCGTTGAAACTACGTGCATGTGTTGTATCGTTAAATGCTAAACGTTAATAAGATATAATCATACGATATAAACACACAGATAAACGCACAATACGATACCGTAGAGAAACGCACTAGATCGATAGATCGATAGATCGATATACATACGTAAATATACATACTATCGATATATATATATATACGTGTATGTTGTATATCCTCGCAACGCGATAACATACGCGTGAATTTTAAAGTTTTTACGTATTATATCACGTATTCGTAATCGTCGTGGTCAATTCGTATATCGTATTGGTCACGTATCTACCTGTTCGCGAACCTGTACTAAAGCTACTAACTAAAGATACAGCGTGAAACAATCCGATGTAACGATCGAATACAACAACAAATGTGCAATCATCACCCTACGTATGTACGTGGATGCACACGCGTGCAAGACGTACATACGTACGTAGACATATTTGGTGCAAAAAATCGAGCAAGTAACAAGTTTGGTATATATACATCCGTTTTACAGCCAAGCAACAACCGTTTAGCATCTGTTTAATACTTTCTCGAGAATACAGTTGTCGATACGTAGTTGACGGATAATTGCATTGCTGGTTCTTGCCCGACCGCCGGGTCGGCGGCAAAAGGCTCGAAACAAACAGCCTCGATAATTATCTGCAATAATTAAGCAATCATTAAGCTTGTCACGCGTTTAGAAAGATAGGCAGGCCACTGCTTCCCACTACTTCCTACTTTTCGTCACTTTGTTAATACGTGATTTTTCTTATTTAACAAATAGACACCATGTTACTGGCCATGGCAACATAGAATCCCGGATAACGTGGAGTATGCTATTTATCTGGCTAAAAGAACTCTAAGAAACAAGCAACGACACGCTCTCGAAGAATACGAAATTGTACGTAAATTGTACATTGTGATTTTACTTTTTTCAAACGTTTCTAAATATACTTTGAAAACGTTGTAATTTCACACGTTTTACTCCGATACGACTACTCGATACGTAATGTCTAATGTCTAATGTCTAACGTCTGATATTTTTACACACTCGTAGGAAGCTTTACAAAGTCTACGTAGAAACTTGCAGAACAAGTGGGACGTTATACAATTACAAGCCGAAGAACAGGTGAATAGACGATCGTCGTTCATCGTCATTCTCGTCATTCTCGTCGTAATTTTCCGTACTGTTCCGTTTCGCTCGAATTAAATTCACTCGAAAGAAAAGAATAGTAGACGGTAACAATTGGACGTTGTACGTCGCCTGGATAATCCTCCGATCGTATATATAATCCTGCGATATAACAAAGAGATAGATCTCGGATAGATTTATGATTTAAAATCTATCGGGAAAAACTCGATTCTACGTACTCTCGTTTAGAGATAGAGATAGAGATACGATACGGTTATATTTAAGAAAATGTTACGTTTCTTCAATATAAATATATCTGCTTTCCACGTACGTATGCTTTCTACATGTATATTTCTACGTTTGTATATATTTTCCTTGCGCGCGACATTATATATACTTTATAACGAAAACATTGTATATACTTTTGTGCATGTAACTCCTTGAAATGTTAATTTTCTGGGTTCAGGTACGCTTAGCGAAGGAGCGAAAAAAGGGAGATAAAATAGTAAGCGATTCTCAAGAGCGAGCATTTTGGAGAGTTTACAGGCCGCCGCCTGGTTGTCTGAGCAGTCTGGAAGTAGCACCCGTTCCTACGCGTTTTCGTCCTGGACTTTTGCGTCCTCCTTCGCGTAAACGCACTTTGACCGATCTGCAACGCGAGGTAAACCCACGATCCACAAACATGAACAAATCACACATCCACGTACATAGCAACGTACATGATTCTCTTACATTCCCTTCCAAGCCCGATTCTTTCTTCTTTCGAAAATCTACAGTACATCTAGCTACGCACATGTCCCGTTTTATTAACCACCTTTCTAGCGTCAAAGAGAGCATCTTCGACACGTAGAATAGATCTCTTTCACCGCATGTTGTTAGTTATTAGTTGTACAGTTATTAGTTGTACACGCGTTATTATTAGCTATTACACGCTATTTACACTTTACATTTACATTTACACGACAACACGTAAGTGTAATCTTCACGTTCTTCTCGAATCTTCATCTAAATCTAAGCGTCTTTTCTTTTTCTTCAAACACTAGGTGGCCCTTTTGAGGAACAGTTTAACGCGTACCAGAATAAAAGTTTCGGCTGCGATCGAAAACTTAAAGTCGTACTTTGATACATACGTGGAATATGATCCAATGTTCGTGCAGCCACAACCTTCTAATCCATGGGTCACCGAGGATCAAACATTCTGGCAGTTGAACAGTCCTCTGTTAGTATTCCAAACGTTCCAATCAATCAAATTCCTTTCTCGCGGGCAAATACATCAAGCATCAAGTACAAATCTGTACGCGCGATCGGATGCGCGTCGCCGTATATCGCCGCCTAACACAACTCGTTGCTTCAAGCCAATATATATATATATACCACCCACCTCTCTCTACCATATATTATTTACACGATGTTATTATTTCAGAGTAGAAGTTCCTACGGAAAAACGCGTCAAGCGCTGGGCCTTGTCAATGGAAGAATTAATGTCCGATCCTACCGGTGAATATTCTTTCGAAATTTTTCACATTACACGCGAGATATCTTTTACATTACACAGAGAGATCGTAGATCGCGTATCTAGCGTTTCTACAACGTCTACTGCTGCGTCTACAAAACAAATTCGATTCACGTCTATTGGCAATGATTATCTTGAAAATATTTTTCAATATATTATTTATAATTTATACATTTGTATGTACTACTGTAGGAATACTACGTACGCACGCGTACGTACATATATATATATATATATATATATATATATATATATATATATATA